ACCTGTTAGCTTTAGCCTCAGTCTCATCCAGTTTTCTCTTTTCTTACAGTTTTGATGTGAGAGAAATATATGTTTAACATTAATAATAATAACTGTATTATTTAACTGAAGTGCTTTAATAGACTGGCACTGAGGCCGAGCAGAGCGATCAATAATAATAATCTCTCATACGCTCTCCTCGCTGTGTCTGTTCTGACTGTATGGCTTCAGAAATGTCTCGTCCTCCTGTGAGATGTTTGTACGCTCAGTCGACAGCAGAGTGTGAAAGAGTTCATCATCACGTCAGAATAACTGCTGCCGTACCTGAGCCTGGAGGACGACATAATCAATCAATAATCAATACAGTGATGAGTCAGCAGCCTCTGTGGTGGTCCGAGAGAATCCTGCTGCTCACAGTGCCGATGATTTACACTGAGAGAGATAAACAGTACGACCACAGCTTCCTGTTTACTCCTCAGTAAACAAACACAACAAACTGCTGCAGGCACATTTCTGCTGGCAACAACACGGAGTTATTGATCAGTGTGTTGGATGCTGGCACTGCAGCAGCAGGTTAATCAGAGTTATTGATCATAATGAAGCCATATTTGACACTCGCAGCAGTTTTCAGCTGTGGATTTATACTCCTCGTTGCCATGACAACAGACTCCCATGACTTGCTGTGGTTACTAATTTTATTATTTCAGTTTCAGATCTTCATTTTTACTCTGATTAGTTTCACGAGTTATTTCCTCAGGAGCTGTTTATTCTCTGCAGTTTGTGTTTTAGTGGATCAGAAATTCCTTTGCTCTTGTATTAACCTGAAAGTCATTAGGTTCAGCTGTGTTAGCTGTGTTAGCTTCATTAGCTGTGTTAGCTGTGTTAGTGTTTGTGTATTTCTGTTGTGGTTTCGGTTGAGGAGTCTCTCTGTATGAACTGGTTTCCACAGAAGGAACCGAGGTTCTGACCTCTGAGGGGAACAAACAGGAAGTGGAAGAAGCCTCTCATTGTTTAAAGTCTTCGTCCTATTAACCCCCTGAATTCACTCTCCCTGTACCCCCCACCCCCCGCAGGCTGCCAGCAGATCACCAGTTAGCTGCAGATGATGTCGTCCTCCACCAACACACCGAAGCTATGACATCATTCAGCCTGCACACTGACTTCCTGTGTTTCTTCTTTGTGTGTTTCAGAGAAGCTGTATAACTCTCAGGGTCCGGAGCTCAGACGCTCTCTGTTCTCTCTCAAACAGCTGTTTCAGGTAAAAGTCCAGCGTCTTATGTACGGAGAGTGGAAGTGGTTAGAACGAGGAACCGTAAAATGAAATAATGTCATTAGTTCGACTCACAGAATCTTTTTATCTGTCACATTGGCAGAAATGAGCTTCCATAAACATTAAATCAGTCAGTGAAGAAGAGAGAGCAGGATGACACGTGTGCTGTGTTCTGTGTGCAGGATGATAAAGACCTGGTTCCAGAGTTCGTGGCCTCTGAGGGTTTGACGTGTTTCATTAAAGTTGGAGCGGAGGCCGACCACAACTACCAGAACTACATCCTGAGAGGTGAGCCGGTCTGTGGTCCTGAATCCTTCGTTATCACAGTGTTTCACCTCTAATGTTCACTGTCACCATCCGGCTGTTTCAGGCCCAGAACGCCCCCTGCTGCCACTCACAGGGCACTAACCCTAACCCTAGCATACAGCATATAACATATAGCATATAGCATATCTGTCCTAGCCTCAGCTGCAGCGGGTTCCTCCTCGGGGCGGGTTCTTCCTCCGGGTTGGTTCCTCCTCGGGACGGGTTCCTCCTCGGGGTTGGTTCCTCCTCGGGGTTGGTTCCTCCTCGGGGCGGGTTCCTCCTCGGGGCGGGTTCCTCCTCGGGGCCGGAGAGAGTGAATCCGACCTGAGGACTCAAACAGAGACTGACGGAAACTCTCCACCACACAGAGCTGAGTCAGCACTGCAGATTATACACTGCTCTGGAGCTGCTGGAGCCGTCTGTGGAAACCGGCCTGTGTGCCTGTCTGTCTGTCTGTCTGTCTCTCTCTCTGTCTGTCTGTCTCTCTCTGTCTGTCTGTCTGTCTGACTCTCTCTCTGTCTGTCTGTCTGTCAGCTCTCAGTCAGATCATGCTGTTTGTGGACGGTATGAACGGAGTGATCGCCCACAGTGAGACGGTTCAGTGGCTCTACACGCTGACAGGAAGTCTGGTGAGTCCTCACAACCCCCCCGATCCCCCCTCAGAAACCTGCTTAATCCTGATTGATCAGGGACAGATGATGATAGGAAGCCTTCCTTTAATATTGATCAGTGATCAATAGTATTTCTTTAGGCCGACTGTAATGATCCAATCTGTGTACTTACTGTAAAACATATAATCTAATCTGATTATAGGATATTGATCCCTTTATTGAAAACCAGATGTTTGTTCTCTGATCTGAGAGAAATCAAATCAGCCCCCCCAACTGTCCTATGATCCAGTCACACTCAGTGCAGGTTGTTGAGGGTTAATGGATGAGAGCAGTGATAGAGCGGTGGCGCCACCTGCTGGACGAACACTGACCCTGCGTCTCTCTGCAGTCTCGTCTGGTGGTGAAAACGTCTCTGAAGCTGCTCATCGTCTTCGTGGAATATTCAGAGTCCAACAGTCCTCTGCTCATCAGCGCTGTCAACACGGTGGACGGGAAGAGAGGTACACACACACACACACACACACACACACAGACACACACAGACACACAGATACAC